TGGGTAAATTTTATGGCGAGAACATAATGTCTTTTTTGCAAAAGTTATAAGATATATGTATGTTAAATTATTAATAACTATAGTATATTTACAATGGTAATTTCGTTTTATTCTCTCACAAAAATAAGAATTAGTCCAAATCTTCACTAGAATCTCTTTAACAATTTTTGTAAGGGGTTTTCAAACCCCGCCAAATGCAATATGTATACGTATGATGTGGCGCTGAAAAAAAATTATTTTGGTTACACCGTCTCAATTGCTGCCTACTTCGTAAAGTTAATGGCGAGTAATTACACACAAGTAGTAGAAACTTATAGTTAGTAAGCTCAGTTATAAATCCATTTAAAAGTTTGAATAAAAACGCTTTTTTTGGTATTTTGTTAAATTCTCGGACTATCAGGCGACGAAATGCAATGAGGTGCAGTGGGCCTTTTGAATATGCAGTTATAATTGTAGTGAACAACCAATGAGCGAGATGTGATGCCCCATAATCATATAACGGTATTTTCGCAAAATGCGAAAACTACGATATTTCAATAAATATTGCATCAATAAATGTTGCATTAGTGTGTGAAGTCGAATTTTGGTAAAAAATAATATTATACTGAAACTTTTTGCAAAGAGGCCTTACCCCGCCCACTTATGATGGAATACTGTATCTTGGTAGCCGCTTCACCAATCCTTACCACATTACCACACTCAGGATCCAGGCAAAGAAATTTGTTGAAAATCTTTGAAATCGACCAGTAGCCACGCCCACTTCCCTTATAACCGTAATTTACAGAAACACGAAAAGTGCCATAAATCAGTAACTACTGAAGCGAAATGACCACTGAGCAGAAAATTAGATTATTATAAATTTTTTGATTTTGGGCGTGGCGCCACCGATTTTCCAATTTCTAAAAAACTCGGTGCACCTAATAACCTTGGTACGGAAAAGCAATTCTTTAAAAATTATTAAAATCTATTTTGTTAGTAATTTACTTTTCATTGGAATTACACGTTTTCGAGATATTTTGCCAAAAATTGTAAATTTTTCGATTTAATAAAAAAATAAAAGTTTGGCCGAGCTTCGGCGTGCTTCGGGTTGATGTTGTCACACAAAGGAGAGGGACCTACAGTTTTACGCCGACTACGAACGGCGATTGTATTTCTATGAGAATCTGTTTTTCATAACAGAAATACACTCGAAGATTTGGCATTGCCTGCGACCGCTATTAGAAAAAACATTTTTTTTTTATATTAGTCGGAAATTGGGCTCTATCTCAGTCGCAGAATTCTGACTTGTAACCCTCTTAGTGAGCTCAAAAAAGAGCCAGAAAAGAGCATATTTCCCCCTCCTAGAAGGGCACTTCAATACGAGTACAAGTTAGGAGTTAGGAGAGCTTAGGGTAGCGCACAGAAGGGCTCTGGGCCAATGAACGGGTTGGATGCACCTTTCTTCGCCAGTTTATCGGCAATCTTGTTTCCTTTGATACCAATATATTCCGGAATCTAGAGAATGTAAACTCGATTGATCAGACCAAGAGTATTTAGCTTGTCCAGGCACTCTATTATCTGTTTAGGTGTTACCTCTTGAGATCTGAGGGCTTTGATAACCGATTGGCTGTCGGTCAAGATGGCGATATTCTGATTCTGGTAGTTTCGTTTGATATTAAATGCCGCGCATCTTTCTATGGCGTATGCTTCAGCCTGGAAACCCTCGGTCCAACTACCCGTACTCAGGTGCACTCTTCGGTCAGTTGGCTATCATTGTATCAAGTTAACATGTTTTGGCTTATCCGATATGTCTCGAATATAACTGCCCAGCTCTTTAACGGCGTTGCGGCAAGCTCTAAAACTGGATGTTATTTTTACGAGGAAGTATATGAATAAAGCAATATAGACATTTTGGTCAGAATTTGTTTTGAACTTTAGCAGAGAATCTTATTTGTAAACCTACTTAATTTTCTATAAAGTATATTCAAATTCGCTCTTTGGCTCTCTGCTTGCTATTTCGCATTTGCGTTATATCTACGTGCGCAATTAAGTATAATAATATTTTTTTATATAACCAACAGGTGAAATGATTGTATCCTCATCAAGATATCATGTGCAGGAGTCCTCGAAATCCATGTACGAGACGAAGATGACAATGATTGTGCGTAAATTCCAAAAAGATGATGTCGGCTCATACCGTTGCATAGCGAAGAACTCACTCGGTGAGGTGGNCTATTTTTTTTACTTTGTCTTATGCTTTTCTCTTTATTTCAATTATCTTGGCCAATTTTCTGTCCATGCTGATGGTGGTCGTAAAGTAGAGCGCGCGCACTATAGCAACTTTGATTAACATTCGCGTTAATTTACTTGCTTTTCTTCGCCGTTTGCATTTATGTTTTGTATTTTTTCGCTTCATTTGTTTTTGTGGCATTTATTTACACTTTTATTCACTCTTCATGTTTTTTATTTTATATATTTCATTTCATATCGTTACTCGCACCACAGAAATTCCCGGTCCGAATCGTAAAAATCCAGCGGGCAAACATGCCGGTGGCAGCAACGATGCAGACACCAATGACGTGCTAAAAATGAAGCAAGTCAAAGTCACATATCAGCCAGACGACGAAGACCTATACGGCTCAGCGGAGGATTTCGATGACAGCGAATTACCGTCGCCGCCGTTAACGCCAAACATCTACTACGCGAATGGTCAGAAGTCGGCGACACATCGGCCGGCCATGTCCGGCGCCGGCGCCGGCACTGGCATCGGTGGAGGTAGCGGCGGGCAACTCGCCTCGGCTGGTGGTGCATCAGACGGTCGCCATCACCATCATAATTCAGGTGGTGTCGGCGGCGGTGGTGGTGGTGGTGGCATTGGATCGGTCGGTGGCATTGCCAATCTCGATTTCGGCAATCTGGGTGCCACAAGCGGCGGCGGCATTAGCATTAGTAGCGGTTTCGCGGTGGCGTACTTTGGTAGCATAGCGCGCAAGCCTCCGTTTTATGACAGCTTTGTCGGCATGTTTGGCAGCAAAACGGAAGTGCGCGACGCAGTGGAGAATAACGAGCTGCGATCGGCGGTGGCGCGGACACAACAAGTGGGGCGCTTTGCGTCGGTGTGCCACAATGGCTGCTGGTGTTGGTGGTGGTGGCGGCAATAGCTGAACGAAAGCCATTACCGTTGGCTTGGTCAGTGGCTGCAGACGCTGTTCGCTTTGCTGGTTTCCACTTTAATCACTGCATTCTGTGGGAATTTATTATAATACGCGGTTGTCGTTAAATGTCAATGCGTTGGCCCAGCGCGGCCTGCCACAGCAACCAACGCCGT